GAAATCTTTAAGAAGTTGGGTGACAACTTTGGGTTGGATGATGGGGTGATTGATGCATTAGTCCAGCTGGGCGTAGAGAGCCTCCAAGAATTTCGTTTCTTATGGGCACCTGAGCAAGCCCATCGAGACCTGGATAGGTAAGTTGGGCTTGGGCGACAAAGCCTTGCTGATGACGGCTCGGGTGGTGCGCTGTGCATGGGCAGCGGTCGGTCTTTACTACCGCCAGGTAGAGCAAGATAGAGCAAGATCGGTCGAAGATCGCCCTGTCTGACTTGGATTGCATGCTCAGGGAGACCGAGCTGCGGGACACCAAGCAGCAGTTCCTGGAGGCGCTACAAGATGCGTTTCCCACCAGAGGTCCATCCCGCAGATACTACGATCTCCAGTGTGGCCAGGGAAATTCAGAAGAGGATGCTGTGTGTGTACAAAATCTTGCGAGTGAAAGCCTTCCAATTCCAGCTGACCACTTCTCAGAAGAAACGCAAGCTGAGTGATAGCCTGTTCATCGAAGATCGGGAGGATAAAGAGGTAGTCGTTGCCCACGACGTCGACAACTATTTGGACAGGCTCTTCACGCTGCTTCTGGCTTATTATGCGATGGCCTGTTGTGCGGGAGTGACCGGTGCACCGGACGCTGCACAGGGTTGAGTTTGGGCGCTGGCACCACCAAGTTCGTGAGCGTGCCACTGCATTATTTCAGAGCCAAGCGCAGCAACTCCAATGGCTACAAGCTCGGGATGTTGAGGAACGCAGTGAGTTGGTATCCAAATTCGGAGAGTCGACCTTGTCCTTGGGCCAGGTCACCCACGAGGTTTACACATCCAGGGATGCCCACTGGACAGACGTCCCCAGGCCCGTCGTCACCTGAGAAAAAGACACCGGTTGCTCCTACAGCCCGCCTCAACTGTCAGCCCAACCAAACCGTCGACAGGGACATCAACGGCAAGCAAGCGGCCACAACCATGAAAGACGGCACCAAACTGTGCCCTCAGTTTCAGCGAGGAGGATGCAAAGCCAAGCCATATCCTCAAGGAGCTCATCGATGTGCGGCAACCATCCGGAAAGACAGAGTTTGTGGCGCCTTTAATCATGCGGGCACCAACTGCAATTCTAAGCGTTGAGATTCCCCAGCGCTTAGAATTCAAAGCTTTCATCAGCTGTGGGTGGAGTTGCGTTACTGTGGAGCGAAGCAGGCGAATGGCTTCGCCAAGTACATCATCCACTTCAGGACATACACTTTATGGGACGCCCTACCGGAGTTGGCCAACAAAACCCTTGCCTGCGACTGTGCCATGGACCAGATGTGTTAAGCGGACATCTCATTGGCCTCTACTTCGATGCCACTGCTCCAGATGCCCAGCCAGAGCGGCGAGGTAGCGATGGCAAGTGGTCCCGGTCAGTGGCATTGCCTAGGGGTATGCCCCCCCCGGTGATGAGGCAAGAGGCCTTGGTGCTGGCGTTTTGCAAGCTTTTCCCAGCCTCGTGATCAGCAATTTCAAATTTGCAATGGTGGAGGATCTGATGAACAGCACATACCCCGCATGGTTGGCAGAACGAGGTGAAGCTTGGGATGGACCACTAGTCCCTAGGATTGGAGACGGGTGCCGAGCGGGAGCCAGGACCCATCGTGCTGCCTTACCTCCACGGTTTCCCTTCAACCTTGAACCAGATGAGCATTTCCAACGAGCATTGCAACGAGCACAGCAACCCCTGCCCCACGAGGATATTCCAGTGACTGACTTGGACTTGCAATTTGTGGCATCTGGCTACACAGTCGATTGTTCCACAGTCGATGGAAAGCCATGGCGGCCTTGGCGACAACGACCTGTTGGTGCCCTCAAGGAGTTTAAGCGACGCTGGGGGGGTGACCCTCCATTTGAAAAGCTTCCCAGAGCCGGCAATCCAACAAGTGACCAAGCAGCGTGACATTAGCTTCATTGCGGTGCTAGTCATCCTTGGGCTGATACTGGTTTCCCATACGGTTTGGTGAAAGGGTTGGGGATACGCCCCACCTGATGGTATCTTTCCACAACAGCCAGCACGTCGCATCACACTGCCCGAAGTGTTGGACGGTTGGGAGGAGCACAATCAGAAGATCCTCAACCAGTTGAAGCCTGGCAAGGACGATGCCTTTTTGTTGCAGCAGTCTTTGGAGGACGCTACCAATGTGTTCTGCACACCTCCGCTTCGCCGCTCAGAATTCTTCTCCTACATCACCGGCCAAGCTCACAGATTGATCCCAAGGTGCGTGGTCATTAGAGCTCTGACAAGCAGCGAGTGATTGACAACGGTGATGCTGGCGGACAATCTGAACGATTTTGTGATGCCAAAAGCTGACGCCATGCAGTCCACTCAGACCAGCCCAACATATCAGCCTTGGGATGCACCTGTGGTCCGATGAGGAGATCCAGGAATTCTGCCGACACGACGCCTGGAGACAGGCCAAGAAGATTTGCCATCGGCCTATCGCTATTGCCCAATGTCCCTGCACGAGAGCTTGGGTTGCGTGGTGTTTTGGTTTCATGACGAATGGCAGGAGCCAGCATACCAAGCGTACTCTGGTTTGCTTTTTGGATTGCCTCTCGCAGTGACCTCTCTCAACCGGTTTTCCACGTTGGTGGAAGCTTTGTCCAGGCGACTATGCCGAGTACTGGTTATACTTTGACGATGCTACGATCACAGACCTTGAGTCCTCCAAAGGGACAGTGGACAGTTAACCAACTATGCACCTTGATCGGCTCCCCGTTCTCCACTGACAAGAAGCAACCCATGCAAAACACAGGGACATTCTTAGGCCTCACCCATGACCTGGTCGATATCAACCGCACAGGCTTTGTCAAGTTTTGGGCCGGAGCTCGCCTCCATGACAAAGGTAAAGACATCATCTCCAATGCCAGAGCATCTGGGAAGTTCACACGCGGCACAGCCTCGAAGCTGTACGGTACCGCCAACTTTCTGGAACAAGGCATCTACGGCCGAGTGGGCTATGGTGGTCTCATGGCCAGTAAAGTTCGACAAGGCGAGACGACAACGGCTATGACACCGGAGATTGAAGCATGCTTCGAGGTGATCGAAGCAGTTATGCGCTTTGAACCGAAAAGTGAAGTTTCAGTTTTCCCCTTGCAGCAACATCGATTTCTGGCAGCCCCAGACGCTTCTGTGGAAGTTGACAATTCTGGTTCTGGTGGCTTCCACCTCATCTTTTTCCAACCAGACGGATCCCAAATTCGTCTCAGTTTTGTGGCAACCAATTGTGATGAGCTTCAGACCTTCTGGCAACCAGCAAAGACCCACACTGCGCAGCTTGAACTTTCGATGGTGCCGTACGCCCTCATTGAGCGGCCTGACCTTTTTCGTAACCGTCTAGGTTCTTGGACAATGTGGCTGCTGTGATGACCTTAGTGAGAGGGCGCTCTAGCAATCCCGACCTGGCAAAGCTCACCTAATCCACCTAGCCTTATTCGCCTTGCGAGCCCGGGTTGCTGGGAATACGTCCAGAGCAAGAGCAATTGGGCTGACGACATCAGTAGATTAGGTTTTGATGATCCATGGTGGTGCTGCCATGGATTTAGCTTTCATTCGTCGTATCTCCCCACAATCTTTTTCCATCTTCCTTTCGTTGCAGTCATCCTCACCTTTGCGTTGGGTGATACCTGCAAAAGACCGTAAAAGCAGGTTCCAGCCTGGGGCGACCAGGCAGGCCAGGAGTGGACACTGGGCTGGGGCTATGCGCATGTCACACAGTGACCGTTCCAAGGCAAACCTGAGGATAGCAGGTGACCAGAAAGATTGGCAGAAGGTGTAAAAAGAAGAGCGCGGCGAGAGTAGTGCCATGAAGTCATGTTGTCACTTTGAGACGTATCATGATATACCAAAAGAATCAAATGTGTGATTTTGGAATTCATTTGGGTGATAGATTTGGGGCTGAACGCTTCAATAAGCTTCAACAAGCTTCATCCACGCCAAAGCGGAACCAGCCCGAATGGTGTTGAACACCATTGAGAGATATTGAGAGCATTCTTTTCAGCTCACCGACGCAGGCAGAAACATATCATTAATAGCGCTGGACTGTACAACATATTTGCATTTGTCAAGCTGCAAGATGGCCTCGGACTGCATTGCGGTACGGATGATTATGTTGGCTTGACATTTCTTCCAGGAGCAGCTGGCACCTGAAGTGCTGCAGGAGACGCCTCTGTTTTTTCTTTTTACTTTCTCTATATATATATATACGTGTTTCCTGTATACCAACATATACCAACCGCAAAACATGAGAATATATCTGTGACGCGCTCCCAAGACAAGACCAAATTATCATCCGTGAGCACGCTCAGATACTCCCTTTTACACAGGTGTGTCGCCACCTTTGATACTGGGTTATGTGGACTTGCATTCCACAATCTTTCTGTCTAGCTGGCTCGACTCATGCTTGGCAGCGGGCAAAATTTGTGTAACAGTGACATTCCATTATTTCATCAACCTGTAGAAGAGGTAGCAAGTCTTTGCGAACCACAAAACCCGCACACGTTGACTGCCTGCAAATTACTTCCCCAGCAGCCAGCGGGGGAGAGGTTGGGAAGATATCCCCAGTTAAGCAACAAACACGACAATTTCTAGAAGCAATGAGCGAATCAAGTCGACTTCATACATTGAAGCAACCACCCGATACAATGACTTGAGATATGGAGTGACGATAAACACTTGCAAAACGACAAACTGAAGCACACCCTGCTTGTGCAGCTCAATGTTTGACTGTTGAGTTTCTTGCCATGGACCCTAGTGCCTCCCTCAGACACCTAGGTTCGGTTTGATGAAGTCATTAACAAGGAATCCTGTGTCAGAAATGAAAGTTTTCCACCCTTGCCCTGATTTGCAATCGAATTTTTATTTTGCACCATTTATTTTGAACCCGGAAACTCACAATAGACTATAGATGACTATAGTATACTATAGTGACATCCAACCCTCGTGCCTTCCTTTCTGCTGCAAGATGATGTCTCAAGCCTCTTGGGTCTAGGGCGCATGGAGGGACCAAGCTGCTTCAAAGTGGCAGTGGCAGTGCTCAGCCTTTCCACCAATGTAGTGGCTACTGCACAGACAGATGGTGCTGCCCAGCAGTTGCCGGAACGAATGCGTCAAGATTTCCACAACCTTTTCGTTATGCTTCTGCTTGCCCTGTTGGCAGCGTGGGTGGCCAAAGTTGTCTACCAGATATTCCGCGCAGCCGAAGTCCACTTTCGTTTGACCCGAAGTCGGTCCTTGCAGCTGGAAGCAATGAGCATTTACGCACAGGATTTCCTGATCCTCATCCGTCAACACTTCAATCAGATCCTTCGTATCCGAAGAACAGTCCCACCCAAATTGGTCTCCAGACAAGAAGTCTTCGCTCATGTGCACCCTGAGTCTATCAGATGCTTGTGGGTTGGCGAGGAGGATTCAGGGGGTGGACCTATGGGCTTCGGTGTGGAGTTTGACATCGATGCATCAGTGCCTTGCTATGTCCAGTTGTATTGGGGAGTGAATGCCCAAGCTTGCAACGACCTCATGCAGAGAAGTCATGCCACAGAGCCCGCAAACAGACGCTCTGGAGGCACTGGGTCCATCACTGGATCATTGCGAAATTTGCGAGGGAGATGGGCGAATGGCCGTGCGTACGCGAATCCTGAAACGACTAGATCACTCCTGGAAATGGAGGATTTGACAACGTCAGCGACTTCATGCCAAGCGGCAGAGAGTGCAAGTTGGTCAGCCCCTACTGGTGCCGAAGCGTCAGAGGATCGTATCTTTCCTTCTTCTCAGTTCCTGGTCCAATCTCGTGATTTCTTCTTGCCGTCTGGCTGCGGACAACGCTACGTGACGCCAGCAGGCGATTTGATACACCCCAGTATGCTGTCAGATTTTGATATGGGGGCATCACGGCTTAGAAATGGTCAACCAGACCAAAATGCCACAATTCCTTTGGCAATTGTGGTCCTGGCCTCTGGCCGGCCACAAGGACAGGTGCAGCCGGTGCAGGTGCAAGGACGTCAGGTCCTTGACACCAAAGGTGAGATCTCCGCGGTGCGCTTTCACAAAAGCTCCACACAACGTCAGTCCAATGCCCCGTTCAATACTGCAGAGATTTTCCGACAACTTTGCTTCAGTGACTCGCCAAGCTTAGTGGTCGATGTCCAGGGAATATATGGGTTCGAGGATGAAGGTGAGAGCGACTGCATGATATGTTACGCTCGTCCAAAGAATGTTCTTTTGTTACCATGTCGCCATTGCTCTGTCTGTCACTCGTGCTTGCGTTCTTTGAGGGATGAGAAGTGCCCACTCTGCCGTAGCTCATTTTGTAGCTACTTGACTTGTGCAGTCCCTCGGAGAAGCGAGGGACGGGAGAGGTCAGAGGCTGAAGATTTGCCCCTCACTGATGCAAATATGGGACCGTAGTCGTTCCATAATCTGTGACACTGGCTGAAAATATGCCAGTGCCAGGGACAATGAGCAAGGCGAACTTAAACTGAAAATAAGTGGTGCGAAAGTCATGGCCGTTATGTTTTGTTGACATTTGATCCATTTTGATCCATTTTGATCCATGTGTGGAGGATGGACTCGAATAGATTCTGTGTGCCAAGGTGGTGATGGCAATGCATCTTGGGTGGAGCCCTTCAGCTTGCAAGGCTTTTGGCCCTTTCTGCTCAGTGGAGCCGGTAGCTACTTGTGGCATCTTGTTTGCAATCAGCCCATGTGAGCCCTGTCACATAGCACGTCCTGGAGCCATCCACGTGGACCCTGGTGTGGCGGTGAATGCGGTCTTGACCGCGCTAAGGCCCATTTTGGCAGTTCTTCTTGGCTTGTTAGCAGCCGGTTTGATCATCTATGCAACCTGGCTGGCATTCAAACCAATTTAAAGTGACCTCCAGCTGTGATCCCAGAATTACCCAGCGGCCCAGCGGAGGTCTACACGAATGATGCCGTCCCAAAGCCTTTCTGTGGCTTGCAGTTGCCTACATTCCCAGGAGTCCAGGCGCTTGGCATGAACAGGGAAGGGTAGAATAGTCAGCTGAACTCCTGGAGATGGCGATAGAGGGAGAGTTCTCAACAGTCAATAGAGGTCAGATTTACATGGCCACATCACATCATACAACAGGCCTTAAGGATCGGATGTATCCTTAAAGTGCCTTTCATCACAAAAGCATGCAACTAGCATCAACTAATTATGCCGCAAATTATGCCACACTATATACTTGCATTTTTTAAATACCGTCCATCGGTGGTTCATTGCAGGAAGAGTACTACTACTGGGGCTGCTTTGCAGCAGCAGTCCTTCTGAGCGCCAGCACCTTAGAGCATGATGAGCTGTCAATGAAGCCATGCCTACTTTACTGGTAGTGGGTAGTGCTTTAGTATGAATTATGATGTATAGCCACTCCCCCAAAAAAATCAAAAAAGATAGAAGCGTGAAACACATGTGAACACCTGGAACTTGTGGGGAACGCATCATCTACATACAACATCCTGGAAGATCCTGGAAGCACTTTTCCATTAATTTGGGGACCTCCATATCAAAACTCCACAGGCTGGGCACTGAATTGGATTTTCTGGTCCCTGACACTTTGAAACTGTTGCGACTTGTTGGAGGCTGTGTTGCTCCTGAATTGTGTGCTTTCTTTTTCATCCGGCTTTGGTGGCAATGCCTTCAACTGGGCCGCTTCAGATTCTCGGCTGTTCAGTATAATGGACATAGTAGACATGTGTCACGCCCCTCGAACAAATTGGGGATCGCAGGGCAAAGAATGAACTTGATACTGCGGAACCTGGTAGACAAAAGCCATCAAGCAAGGAAGCTGGCCAAATTGTGGGCGGAGTGCAGACGAGCGTGACAGATGCAGCTCATTTGCAATGGATCATACCGAGTGGGCAGCAGCGGACCAGAGCACAGCATTGTCCCGAAACCAGCAATATTAAGGTCGATGGTGTCAGTTTCAGTGCGCAGACGGTGACGGCGGACTTGATGCTTTTCTGCATCGAAAGGTCCGAGGGTAGCGTGGGGCCTGCTGTTTAGTTGCTTCTGTTTTGAATATTTGTGTACTTGCGTTTGCTTTCTTCATCCCTCGATTTCCTCTTCATAGTGTGGCTTTTGCCCTTGTTGCTGCTGCCGTTGTTGTTTCTGTTTCCATGTTTACCGCATTATTTCATGCACGCCCAAGGAATGATCTTTACAAGATTTGTCCGCCTTCCATCGAACAGATGCTTGGCAGCTCAGTTTCAAGAGTCAAGGAGGACATCTCAAAAGCCTCCAGTGAAGCTTCGCTGGCAGCTGGAGGCTTAGCTGATGCGCGTGATTGAAGACAGGTATGAAATGACTTGAAATGTTACGAATCAGACTTTATCCATCTTCCATTTTACCAGTAGTTGGATTGTTTGTCAGTGTGCAACAATTCTCAGCCTATTCGTGCGGACTCCGACATCAGACAATGTCGCTACTGCTCAATCCAAGGTCAAGGCCTTGGAAGACTTCCCAGCTTTGGTGCAGAGCGGCATTGATGACCTCAGAAGTTTGTCCATGTGGCATCCTGACAGCATTTAAGATGTCATTTGAATTCATCTACACCGCAACGCAAGATATTGGCAACTTCTTGAAGATATATAATATAGGAAACAGATGGGAAAAAAAGAAACAGATGGAAAAAAAAGAAACAGATGGAAAAAGGCAGAGGATGAGCAATGACCTTGTTTTGTCTACATGGTCTTTGGTTCTTGAGTCATTGATGTTGCGGGGTGCGGGCTAAATGTTGACGCGCCCAGAAAATCCAAGGCTTCCAATCTTTGCTGGATTAAACCTAGCTGCAGTGCTGGTATGCGCTGGGGCAGCTCAGAGCTCAGAAATTGATAGAAATTGTGCGTTCAGAAGTTGGTAGAGCAGACACAGAGACAGAGGGAGCACAGAGGGCGAGAGGGAGAGAATGTGGGAGCGGCCCACGGAGAGAGAGAGAGAGAGAGAGAGAGAAGGGACCAAATTGAGTGTCCGGTTCGGGCCTTGACTAGGTTTGGCTTCAATTCTTGGCAAGCCAAAATGCCAGGGTGAACAAACGACTCACAAACAAAATGTCAGCATCCGCGCTGCTTGTTTGCACAAGGGTGTGGGCATCAGGCATCAGCACTGTTCAGCCTTCTCCTGACGTCATGACGCAACCTATAGCAATCTCTTATCACGTTCGACCAGTTTTGCGATCAACTCTCCCAGTGTGGACTGCAGTGTCCGGAATATAAAGATGCACGAGACATTGCGAGATCTTTTGGGAATCCTGTTTCTTCCAACTGAATGTTGTACTTCTATAATCTTCTATATATTTCAATATACGGACGGTATACAGATGTATATACGTTGTAATATGTACCTGCATATTATATATCTATTTATAGATAAAGACGATAAAGAAACACATAGATACATATATATATCATAAATGAATAATTATTGAATAGATAAATACATAGCCACATAAATAAATGAATAGATAAATACAAAATAGTAGGTATACATACATACATACCATACCTTACCTTACCTTACCTTATCTTACCTTACACATTACATTACAATACGTTACATAATTACATACATTACAATACATTACAATACATTACATACATTATATACATTACACACCTACATAAACCACCATCCGTATAAACACACATAATTGTCATACAATTATATATAGACTTGTTATACATATCATATATATATATGTCATACATCTATGTCTATTTTAAGACATGGATGAATATATATATAGTCATTTATGCAGATATCTCACTCGATATTCACCCCGCTTCGCGTGGGGTGGCCGCCCACACCGCAGGTTTATTTCGGTCCGTGAGAGGGGCTAAGGGTGGTTTTCTCCTGTGGGGGCTCTTCAAGCTAAGAAGTTTCAATAAGAAATCCTTCCAAAACATTGTTTTTGACAGTGTTTTTCCAATGTTTCCAGTCAAACAGACGGTAATTTACACGTTTTTTGCCATATTGGCAGTAAATCCTTCCAAAACATTGCTTTTGACAGTGTTTTTGTAATGTTTCCAGTCAAGCATACGGTAATTTACACGTTTTTTGCTATAACGTCAGTCCAAAACACTTGTTTTTGCAGTGTTTTCAATGCTCTGGCATCCAAAACCCTGCAAAATCTTGCTATGTACAATGTTTTTTTCATTTTTGGCCGTTTTTCCATTGCCGGAAAGCTACCAAAATGACCCAAAATTCCATTTCAATACCCTCTTGCGCTCAGACACCCAAAAATCCTCGAAAAATGTCGAAAACGCCACCGTATTCTGGTCTCGGTGCGAAACCGTTTTTGGGGTCTGGTCTCGGTGCGAAACCGTTTTTGGCCCCCCCCCCCCAGCTAAAGCTGATATAGCGACTGCTATATTAACAAATGTCATTGAGCATTTAGTGTTGCTGTTGCCCCCCAATAAGCACGCCTTCACCGCCAAAGCGGTGTGGGCGGATTTATAGGATTTTATAGGTATATTAGTGCGTATATCTATACACGTCTATATTGGTATATATATATATATTGAACAAATATAATACATATATAGTACAAAAATATAAGGAACATACATACGCATCATCTAAGGTTGAGGCTGATCCTACCTGCATGCGTGTCCTCCACGACTCTAGTTCTCTGTGCTGCAGCAGCTGCTGAGCTCTCGACTGCCAGTGATGTGGTGCGGTTTTGCGGTGGCAGTGCCTAGGAAGCACTGCCTGATTCACCACGTCACTATGCGAGACCCGTTACATGAGAACGTTGAGGGAGAACGTCGGCAGATTTTACACTTACAGGGTTTTTCAAGAGCACCAGATAAAGGAGAGAGAGATAAACATGTTGGTTTCTTCTACCAGATGAGGAAAGACATGGGAAACCATTGATTTGGTTTTGCGTATAGGGTGTGCGAAACCTGAGGTGGGCCAGATGCGAAACTCCTCGAGATTGCGGAGCAGAATCTCGGCGCCCAATCGAAGTTCTGGACTGCTTTGCTATGCTTTGCTAATTCTTCTAGATATTTCTAGATTTATTTGCCATATCAAAAGCATTCAAAAGCGCCTATGTCTTACACTTCCTTGCAATTCAGTGGCAGATCCAAGACAATCAAAGTAGAGACAGTAAATCATGCTTGTTGGCCTTTGTTTGGCCTTTTAGGGTAGTATGATAGTATGGGAGTCTTAGAGCACAGGTCTGCTGGAAAAAGCTCGTCCTCGTACAGCATTGCTGAGCACTACTTGACCGGCCAGCTTCTCAAAAAAGGATAAAAAGGAATCTTTCATGGGCTCTGTATGGTTTGCTTTGAAATCCGTACTGGAGAAATGAGCAGGCACACATTCTGCTCAAAGGTTCCCAGACATCAAACGGGAACGATTGCATTCCTGCCTTGTTTTGTGAATGTCGGATTGATCGCGCGAATGGGGCAGGCTCAGTCCCAAACCCTGCTTCGGAGCATTTGGAGCTGGCCAAAGCATCCGTATTGGCTGGAGTTAGCTGGCTCGCTGAGTACAAGCATCCAACTTAGCTGCCTTTGTACTGGCATGCGCTGTGCCTTACTGCAGGGTGTTCACATAGGCGGTACGTACTTGTAGATTTTGTAGAATCTTGCAGGTACTTGTAGATGCAGCCAAAACAAGTCGGGTCAACAATTGAACCAGCTTTCAGGACAGTTCTGCAGCAGACCTGCCCAAAGTGGAAAGCAGAGTCCGTATTCAGCGACCTCAAGAGTTTGGAGCAAAGGTTGAATGCCACCGAACTCTGGTCGCACTATCATGCCTTGAAAACAACAATGCCAAAACGGCATGCCGTCAGAATCTGTGAATATCAGTTGTGAGCAGTAGTGTTCAGTATTGGAGCCTTTCGAACTTCAACGCGGTGCCCCAGGAAGCTGTTCTGGATCCTGTTGGCATGTATGGACACTATCAGCAAGCCACTCATGTTGCTGCATGTAGCGGTGGTACGTCTGGCCTTGTTCCTTGGCTGTGCGGCAAAGTAGCCGCTGCTACAAGTTGTAAACGGCTAACCGCTTGTTGGTCTCAGATTCGGCCGTTTGATGCGGCTCCATTTCAGTTTCTTTTTTTCAAGGTACACTCTCTAGTTTTTGACAGGATGTTGCATGTTTGTGCTTGGAAGGCTGCTTTGGCCATGGAGCAAATCTTCTTAGGCCGTCCATTCGACCTGCAATGCTCTATCGTTTTCGATTTGACAGATGTTCACCAGTGTGCGTCATGTCAAAGCATCAGGCCATCAGAGACTAACAGACTTCAAAAATGATCGGAAAGTCATGCTTGCTGCGCAGCGCTGCATGATGACTACTGTGATGACTGCGGCGTTTGAAATCCGCAGGTGCCTTCCTCCTCCCGCTGCTATGCCTCACAACCACGTGGATGGTGGATTTCTTGACCAAAGGTGGAGTGGCTGGTCCGCAGATGGCACCGCAGCCTTGCCATGTTTGAATCTGTCGAGCTGAGGCCTACCAACAGCTTGGCCAAGGAAAAGTTGAGGGTCAGAGTAGTGATGATGAGAAGCACGAGGATCTCAACTCACTCTACTATGCCTGGAGCTCAGAGCCGTATATGGCTGTGCCATGACGTGATGAATGACGGACGATTGCAAGAAGATTTCTTCAGTCGGCACTTAGTCTGAGCTTGCTGAGGTGGTCTACGCTTTTTCAGCAGCTGGTCCTGAGATTTTCAGCAGGATTTGCGGACGTTAGCCTGTCGGAGACCATGCAAAATATGCAAAGAGCAGAGACTTCTAGACTTCTGTACAAGGGCGGGCTCCATTGGACTCCAGAATTTTGATCATTTTGTTCCTTGGTCATCCTTTGCCATTTTATTGATAAGGTAGTGATTTTCGCAGTTGGGCTCTGGATGTATCTGGTGCCACAGCCGGGCATGGTGAGACCTGCAATTGGAACCCTCCTTTTTGCCACCGGCGCGACTTGGCTTTACGAGCTGAAGTCTGAGTGCCGCTGATTTGGAAGTGAGCCAGCAGCGAAGCGCTGGTTGTGGAATTTCAAGACGTGGTCACGTGGTTGGTTGCTCAGCAAGCGAAGTTGTGAGGTTTTTCTTCTGATGAACTCCGACCTCATTGTTACATACTTCCGCCTTCACGAGCAGGCAGCAACTTTCGGTATTGTGTTTGAGTATAGCTAGTTGGGTCATATTATGATTGGTTCCAGGGGAGCGATATGGGGGCAATTATATTTACCCATGCATTGAGTTTGGCAGGCTTGGGTGTGCATGTATCATCTTTAAGTGTTTCAATGAATGCTACCATTTTGGCTCAAGTAAACTTGAACCAAAATAGCATTCATTGCTGTTTTCTTTCTTGGTCTTGGTAAGGGGTGACCTTTCCAGACCTTGATTGGGTGGTTCAAATTATATACAAGGGGCGACCTTGTATGCAGCGCAAACTCCCAGGAATCGATATCCCGGCAGCCACTGAGGCGAAGATCCTTCATGCTGCTGCTTTCCTGGAGTTCAAGAGCCACGTGGAAAGGCTGGCGCGGGAGGGCTCTGATGCTGCAGCATACACATGCTGGATGCATGGCATTGAAGTGTTGCATTCCCCCTACGTCATCACGACTGGGACAGATTCAGAGCTTTTCCCCCCCCTGCCGAAGCTACCCTGTTGCCTTGATGACTGCCAGCGTTGCGCAGCTCATGTGGGGGGGTTCAAGTTCCCGTGGCTCGGCTTGTGGAACAGCCGTGGCGTTGTGCTGCCCGATGATGTGGCGCCTGCGGATGCTTGGGCGTACTACTACCAGCACCAGGACCCCATGGACCTGCTGCTGGTCGCTGCCTATACGAAGCACAAAGTGGCCGCTGACATCGTGCCCCAGGATCTCTACGGGTTGCAGCTCAGGTGCTCAGCGGGCGACGCTGGGCAACTGGGCTTGGGGGAGCTGTTCGATCAATGGAGGAGCTGGCTCAGATGCACAGGCCCTCACGAGCTCCTACCGGTCTTCCTCGAGCCGCGGCATTTCCCCAGAGCACCTAGGGGGCGACCCTGGGTGGCCTGGGGGAGAGAAGGCGCCAGGGCACATCGAGCGCTATGTGGATGGCTGGAATGCCAGGATGCAGGCATGCTTCAGCTGGGCACCGCCTGCACAGAGTGCGGAGATCCCACCAGGCGCGTGTGCTGGGCATGCTGCGTCGGGATGTGTAGTGACTGCTTCACCTGGCGTGAGCCATGCAGCACTTGTGGAGGACGTAAGAAGATGTTTGCTGCAGGTTGATTTTATGACAGAGGAGGCACCTCTGAAGTCACCGCAGCATCTTTTTGCTCTCCGCACCTTAGCAATCTTGTTAGGGTGCAGCGCCATGGCATCAGGCGGCAAAGGCTACTATGCAGCTCAAGCGGCAGCTTCGTCCTCGTCAGGGGGTGACCCTGAACCGGGATGGAGAGCAGCCGACTCCTTGATGATGATAGCTGCACAGCGTGCGCGTCAATGGAGGGAGAACGAAGGCCTCCTGGACGACAACGACTTCGCCTATGCCTACACCGACTACGATCAAGTCGTTGGACTAGCTGGCCATCACGTAGCAGATGACTGGCTGCAGACAAGAGCAAGGGTGGAAGAGCACCTCCTTGCTGCTGGGGCCAAAGTCGTGGAGGACAACCCCAAGGGTTCCGTCACTCTGCGCCCTGTGCGCAAGACAATCTACAAGAAAAAGCCCAAGGCCGTCAACGTCACCAAGAACCTGGATGAGGCCGTCCAAAAGCGGGTGAACGGCTTGGTGTCGATGTTTGTCGGAATGGGCGCATACAAACCAGCTGGCATCTTGACAGACACCCTCAAGGCCGAATGGAAACAAACGTGCAAGAGGATCGCCGAGAAGAAGGTGAAGGACGCGGAGAAGGCGACCATTGACCGAGTGGTCAACACCTGGTTGGAGCTGAGGGCCTTCTTGGAGAGTCGGGGGCGACCCGCTCCTCCTGGAATGGTCGACCTGGATCAGTTCCTCAACCACACCCAGGCGCCAGCACGAGCACTCCAAGCCTTGAAATGGATGAACAAGAATGCCGACCAAGACATGGAGCTGGGAAACTTGCAAGTGCCTACAACACCCAGGGCGACTGGGCAGCGTGGGCAAGCACCGGTGGTGGAGCCGCCATTAGTGCAGGCCTTGGAGGACCGCATCACGGAGTTGCACGCGGTCGGCGATGAGAGGTGGTCAGTTCTTCTGGCTCCTTGGATCATGTCGTTTGGCTGTTTGAGGTATGCGCACATCGCGCGGTCAGAACCTCGGCGCCTCACCGCTGCATTCCTCCATTGCAGGTGCCCTAAGGGAAAACAAAAGCATGCCCGCGAAGGTTTCGACTTTGCGGTGCCGGCCACATTCGCCAACGGCTTCTTTTGGGCCAAGGAAGTGCTGGAGGCATACAGGACGCTGGCACCAGCAAGGCAGAGACTTGCAGGCCTTTGTTTTTCGGACGAAGGGCGCCCATGGACGATCCTAGAAGTGCAAGAGACGATGCAACAGGAAATGTCCGTGTTCCTCGACAATCCAGAAGATCTGACCACCTACAGCTGGAGGAGGCTTGCACCCACGGTGGCCCAGTTGTTAGGATGCAGGCCTGAAGAAATGGCAGCCCTGGGCGACTGGCAAAACAAGAGTGAGCAACCAGAGGTGGGGGCGATGGCATTTCACTATTCTTCGGCAAAATACGCGTCGGTCAAGGTGAAATCCCTGATCTGGGGCGCTACGGCCAAGCTCGCTAGCAACCTGCTGTGGGAGGCGATCCCGCAGGCAGAGCTAGATGCAGCCCGAGCTCATGGCCTGACTGAAGCTGACAGGTTGCTGCGACAAGACCGCCAACCTATTTGGGCCTCTGCACATAGCTTCCAGGACGTGAAGAAGAGGCTCAAGTTGTCACAGCAGTTTGTTGAAGCGGCACAGCAAGCCCGGCAAGAGGCCGTAGCCGCACCGGCACCTCAGATGCCTGATCAACTCAATGGCAAGGTGCTGACGGCCACTTTGAAGAATGGTAAGGCCATTTGCCCGGAGTTCCAGACGGACGAGTGCCCGAATCCGGCAGACTCCTGCCCCTTCGGAGTGCACTTGTGTGCCATTCTACAAAAGTCAGGACGGGCATGTGGTGGCAAGCACGGTGCAGGCGTCTGCAACATCAAGAGGGCGGTGTTGGCCGCAACAGCAGTGCCAGCGGCACCCAAGCCATCGGCCACCTTGGTGCCGGCAGCCGTGGGGGAGAAGGCCACTTTTGGCCGGAAGAGGACCGCGGCGAGCGGTGCCACTGACGACGAGATGGCCGAGGTGATGCGCGCAGCTGTCAAGAAAGCCCGAGGTCAGGCTGCACCCAAGACTCCGCCCAAGGCGCCAGCCATTGCAGCCCCCAAGACACCTCCGAAGGCTGCAGCCACTACATCTAAGCCACCGGCCACAGCTGCGAAGTCCAGGGCTACAACCACAACGCCGAAGCGCTTGGCCGCTCCTGGAAGCCACAGATCAAGGCCATGCCAAAGAAAGGCCATGGCAAGGCAGCAGGAGACACCTTGGACCTCCACTTGGAGCGGTTGGGTGTGGGCTCAGGGACAGCCCAGGCCCCGACTTGCATCTGGACATCCCGGAAGGGTGGTGGCATCTACCTGGCAGGACTTCCAATGAGGCAGACGGTGGACAAGTTCCCCAAGACAGCGTTGCAGATCTGCTGCTTCCCGAATGGTCCTGAGAGCCGGGGGGGGGTGACCCTCCCGGGAGCTCAGTTGATGACCTTCGCGGCGGCATACAGCCAGGTACGCAACGAACAGTGGACAGACGTGTGGCCGGCCGTCAAGAACACTGTTTGGCACGGCGACAACGTCGTGGTGCACTGCATCAAGGGGCGACACCGGGGTGCTTTCTTAGGCATCCTCTGCCGTGCATTGCTGGCCGGCGAGTCCATTGAGGATGCCAACCACTACGTGGAGAGCCGCAGGGATACAGAGCTGAACAAGGTCATTCGCGACCAAGGCATGCGGAAGTGGCTGCACAAGACCTTCCAGGACACCGCGGTGGGAATACAGCACCCCGAGCCGCAGGGATATGCAGCTACGGAGAGGTCCAGCACCCATGTCACGGTCGAGGACGGCATCACCTTGTGCCAGCACAAGCAGGCCGATGGGAAGGCGAAGCGCCTGGTGAACCCATACATGTCCACGGACGTCTTTGAAGCTCTGGCATGGGAGCGCCCCTGGTGTGACCAGTGCCTCCGTCGAGCGCCAGCGTCATGGTGGCCGCCTGCCTAAGATGCCCAAGCCGAATTTTTGGCCTTTGCGCTGATCAGCAGCACTGGCCCGTTCCGGCCATGGAGAGCCGAATTCATCAGCTCGGGGCTTGGATAAGAGCTTCAATCCAGCCTGCATGACCGCCCCCAGCAGTAACATCATGCGCGAGAGGAAAATAGTAGAGCCAGGTGACTTTCAGTGGGGTGCCCACTGAGCAAGTGCCGTGCCCTCATGTCCTTTCGTTGTGTTTTTCAAGTTTTTCCTTTCATGACAACGCACAAGACCATCTGGGAGGGGGACCTCAGATAGTCTAGTGTACCATAGCTCTGTGGCGGCATGAAGGTGATGTCATGTGAGGTCGCAACATAGCTGTGCGTTGTACACATGTCCAGATTTCACATCAGTGTATGTCAGGGTCCATTTATTTCATGCCACGCCAGGCTGTTCCAGCACAACGCACGGGGGAGACCCGAGGCGCAGTTTTCAGTCAAAGGGAGGGGATCCCTGGGCCTTAGCTAGAGGGGTGTCCTCGAGAATAGGCCATGGAGACTGATAAAGTCCCACTGGAAAAGGGTTCCCCAGAGGAAATCCTAAGGAAGTTGGGTGACAACTTCTCGTTGGATGATGGGGTAATTACAGCCCTGCTCCGGTTGGGCGTCGAAAGTTTGCAAGAGTTTCGTTTCCTCTGGGCATCGGAGCAAGCCATTGAGCCCTGGGTTGCTAAGCTGGGCCTGGGGGATAAGGCACTGCTGATGACGGCTCGAGTCCGCAGAGCATGGGCCGCAGTGGGACTCTACTATCGTCAGGTGGAGCAGGATCGATCCAAGATTGCACTGTCGGACTTGGACACCATGCTTGGGGAGACCGAGCTGCGCGACACCAAGCAGCAGTTTTGGAGACGCTACAAGATGCGCTTCCCCCCAG